AAAAAAGGGAGAGGGCCACAGTCAAGCCTACTCAGATCACAATATTCCAAAGAAAATACCAAAGCAGTAAAAGAACCTAGTTATACTCCTCCAAGTTGAAATATTTTATCAGCCCATCTATTAGATGAAGAGCTTGCAACTATTTCAGTTAATATAGATAAATCTCTTGCAAATCAGCATTGTTTAACATTGTCTTTAGATGGTTGGACCAATCCATCGAATGATTCTTTATATAATTATATTATTTCAACTTCAGATCGCAAAGAATATCTGATTGCTATTCAAGATTATTCTTTGGATTCTCACACAGGTACCTTTATTGCAAATAAAATTAGCATGATTATAGAAAAAATTGGATCATCAAAATTTGTTGCTATAGTAACTGATAATGGATCAAATGTTAGAGTAGCATGTTGAATTATTAATGAAACATATCCACATATTATAAATATTCAATATATTGCACATTGGTTTAACTTAATTTCAAGTGATCTGGTTAATATATCATCAATTAAAACTACTTTAACGAATGCAAGTACAGTAATAAGTTTTTTTAAAAAATCACATCTTGCAAGTTGTTTACTTTGTGATGGAATAAATATCATGAATATTCGAGGTGGTGGTTTAGAATTATTTACTAAAACTAGATGGGCTTTAGCATTTAGCACTGCAGATTTATTAATTTGGTCTAAACCTGTTTTTGACAAAATTCTTGATGAAAATCACAATACAATTACAAATGATACAGTTTACAAGTTACTAAAAGATGAAGATAAAACTTTTTTTAGTACTTGTCATCGAATAATCACAATATTTCATCCAATTAAAGAAATAATAACTGTATTAGAATTACAAACTGCTAATTTAGCTAATTGCTTTATTAATTTAATACGATTAGGTGCTACAATTAATAAGCTATCAAATAATAATTCATTTAAAATGAATGCTATTAATATTTTTAATAAACAATATGCAAGTCTTGATATAAATATTTATTTACTTGCATATTATCTTTATCCTCAATATTGTGAAAATGGGTTAAAAGGTTTTAAACTTTGGGATCTTTGTAGATATGCATTAGAGTTGTATTCAAAACAATTAAATAACAAAACAAAACAACTTCATAATGAACAAGATTGTAATGAATTAATGAATCAGCTTTGTAGATTTAAGGCTCAAGATGAGCCTTTTAATTTTCTGTATAATAATGTTTATCAAACACCAATGCTATGGTAGTCTATTATTGACGATGAGTATTCTCATTTGCAAAAACTTGCAAAGATGATATTTTCAATAACACCTTCACAAGCTTCTTGTGAACACACTTTTTCAGTTTTAAAATGGTTATATAGTGATAAAAGAATATGACTTCAAACTACAAAATTAGAAACTATGCCGAAAGTACATTCATGATATCTTTCAAATATTACTAAAGAACTACATTTTTATGAAACAAACTTTCAATTCAGGATCTATATAATGACATTCTAGAACAGACTGCATTTGCTAATTGGGAAGATTCTTGTAAGCCAATCTATAAAGATATCAATATCGAATCTCAGCAACAAGTTGTTGAAAAATTAGAAATTGGTGATTTAATTGAT